TCAAAACGCTTTCAATTAGGTGATAGCAATTAATTTTTTTGTTTCTAATTACTTGAAGTTCTTCATTAATACTTGTTTCACGTTATTGATCGGTTGACGACGAGAAATATAATTCATCAAATTCATATTATGGCTTTTTTTCATTAAAAAAAAAAATGAAAATCGATCTGTTAATTTTAAGTCCGCATGAACGAGGAGTATGCTAAAAAAGGCAGAACCTGGGACATGGTTCCGTGGTAATTTCACAAAATTCCAAAGAGGATTATTTTCGACTAGTTCATCAACGCAATTTGCAATCATTCTTCAACGGAATTCTACTTCCAAAAAAAAAAAAATATATATATATAGCAAATCATCTCCGCGTCCTTTTGGGTGATGAATTATTTTCGGCCCTACAACCCGAAACGAAAAACCAAACGTCGTAAGCCTCTTACTGCTCTATCGCTATTTCTGTGGAGAGTGCTCAGACGAACTACATTCCTTCGTTCTAAATTTCACCCCTAAGACCGACCATGCCACGCCCATTGTAGCAAACTTGGTGTAAGGTAAGTTCAACTCGAGTTGCTTCCTTCCACGAACCCTTGCTTTGTGGAACCGACTTCCAAGAAGATCTTAACCTGTTCAAATCAAGGATTAACTGTTACCATTCACACATATCTCCAACTACTGGTACTTGGGCAGTTGTACAGGTTTAATATAATTATAAACATAATGTCCGGTATGTCCTCGGTTTTTCGGACATCTTGGGAGAAGAGGTTGAAAAAGATTGAAAATTCCGTGTAAATGAATACTTAAATTATGGAAAAAAGAATGAAAAAGAAAAAAAAAGACATTTAAAAAAATATATTTAGCATTTATAATCATCAAATAAATACCAACGTTTGTTTAAGTGTTCGATCAGTTTATGCTTGTTTCTAGGACATTTGCACCCCGGACTACTGCGTATCAGACAATTGCATCCTTGGACATTTGCGTCCAGGACAATTACATATAAGACAGTTGCATCTCTGGACATTTGCGTCCCGGAGAATTGCTTACAAGACAATTGCACACCTGGACATTTGCACCCAGGACAATTACCTTACATTTGCGTCCCGGACAAATTGTGTACCAGCAAACCTAGACAATTTGCGTCCTGGACAATTTTCGGACAATTGCATCCTTGTGCATTTGCGTTCAAGACAAGTGACCAAACAATTGCATACCTGTACATTTGCGTCCCGGACAATTGTGTACCAGACAATTGCATCTCTGGACATTTGCGTCCCGGCAATTGTGTACCAGGCAATTGAAAATTTGCGTCCTGGACAAATTTCGTCCAATTGGACATTTTGCGTTCAAGACAAGTGTCTACCAAACAATTGCATCACTGGAAATTTGCGTCCCTGTTGGCAGACAATATTGGACATTTGCGTCCAATTGTACCAGACAATTGAATCGTATTTGCGTCCCATTTCGTACAATTGCATCCTTGTGCATTTGCGTTCAAGACAAGTGTCTACCAAACAATTGCATCCCTGGAAATTTGCGTCCCTGACTAATGTGTACCAGACAATTGCATCTTTGGAAATTTGCGTCCCGGACATTTGCGTAGCAGACAATTGCACCCTTGGATATTTGCGTCCTGGACAATTTCGTACCATACAATTGCATCCTTGTGCATTTGCGTTCAAGACAAGTGTCTACCAAACAATTGCATCACTGGAAATTTGCGTCCCTGACTAATCGTGTAGCAGACAATTGCATCTCTGGACATTTGCGTCCCGGCAATTGTGTACCAGGCAATTGAATCCCTGGATATTTGCGTCCTGGACAATTTCGTACCATGACAATTGCATCCTTGTGCATTTGCGTTCAAGACAAGTGTCTACCAAACAATTGCATCACTGGAAATTTGCGTCCCTGACTAATGTGTAGCAGACAATTGCATCTCTGGACATTTGCGTCCCGGCAATTGTGTACCAGGCAATTGAATCCCTGGATATTTGCGTCCTGGACAATTTCGTACCATGCAATTGCATCCTTGTGCATTTGCGTTCAAGACAAGTGTCTACCAAACAATTGCATCACTGGAAATTTGCGTCCCTGACTATTTGTGTAGCAGACAATTGCATCTCTGGACATTTGCGTCCCGGCAATTGTGTACCAGGCAATTGAATCCCTGGATATTTGCGTCCTGGACAATTTCGTACCATGCAATTGCATCCTTGTGCATTTGCGTTCAAGACAAGTGTCTACCAAACAATTGCATCACTGGAAATTTGCGTCCCTGACTAATGTGTAGCAGACAATTGCATCTTTGGACATTTGCGTCCCGGCAATTGTGTACCAGGCAATTGAATCTCTGGATATTTGCATCCTGGACAATTTCGTACCATACAATTGCATCCTTGTGCATTTGCGTTCAAGACAAGTGTCTACCAAACAATTGCATCACTGGAAATTTGCGTCCCTGACTAATGTGTAGCAGACAATTGCATCTCTGGACATTTGCGTCCCGGCAATTGTGTACCAGGCAATTGAATCCCTGCATATTTGCGTCCTGGACAATTTCGTACCATGCAATTGCATCCTTGTGCATTTGCGTTCAAGACAAGTGTCTACCAAACAATTGCATCACTGGAAATTTGCGTCCCTGACTAATGTGTAGCAGACAATTGCATCCCTGGACATTTGCGTCTCAAAAATATCTTGTTACATAATGGTAATTTTGTTTTCTTCAGACGCAGTTGGTAATGCAGTTCACATGAAAGGAATTTATGACAATATGAAACAACGACTGAGATATGATCAACATGACGTGTAACTGCAAGTTCTCCTCACATCAAGAGAAACTGGCCACAAAGACAATCACTGGAACCTTGGAAGGAAAATATTCTGTCTCTTTCACTAGTTGCGTCAAAGAAAATTTTGTTGCCACCTCTTCACATCAAGTTTGGTCTTATGAAACATTTTATGAAGACAATGGAAAAAACCAACATTTATGTATGCGCAGAATACATTTTCCAGTTTTAGTGAAGCATAGATAAAGGAAGACATCTTTGCTTGTCTCCAGATTCATAAACTTCTTTCAGATGAAAATTTTTGGTTCTAGGTCAGTTGCTTTTTGGACATTTGCGCCCAGGAAAATTGCGTCCCAGACAATTGCATCCCTTGACATTTGCGTCGCTAGAAAAATGCGTCTCTGTATAATTGCGAAGCTCTGATAATTCTCTTAAGATTTTAAAGGCAATAACCATTAATTTTGAAAAAAAAAACCATAGGTAGCAATCATAATTTTAAAAAAGAAATAAAATAAAAAATATTAAAAATTTCATTTTGTTTAAAATGCAATAGCAGATTAACTGTGTTGCAAGATCTCTCTACACATCGTTAGTACCTTTTTGTTTCACAACGATCTAACCTCATTCTTCCTTTTCGAAGGGGATTTGGTGTACTGCAATGATACAAATGATTTTATGCAATCATTTAGTTACAATCTAGAAGAATGAAGAATGTTCATTGATTCTTCAAAGACAAGTTCCAAAGCTCTTTGTGAATAGGACAGTCGAGACAAATGTTCTCATCACATGAAGAGAAAATGGCCACAAAGACAATCATTGGAACCTTGGAAGGAAAATATTCTGCCTCTTTCACTAGTTGTGTCAAAGAAAATTTTTTTGCCACCTCTTTACATCAAGTTTGGTCTTATGAAACATTTCATGAAGACATTGGAA